TTGAGACGGAGTCTGGCTCTGTCGTCCAGGCTGGAGCGCAGTGGCTCCATCTCAGCTCACTGCAACCTCCGCCTCACGGGTTCAAGCGATTCTCCTGCCTCAGTCTCCCGAGTAGCTGGGACTACAGGCGCGTGCCACTACGCCCGGCTAATTTTTTGTATTTTTAGTAGAGACAGGTTTTCAGCGTGTTAACCAGGATGATCTTGATCTCCTGACCTCGTGATCTCCCCGCATTGGCCTTCTAAAGTGCAGGGATTACAGGCGTGAGCTACTGCGCCCGGCCTATTTTCTAATTTTAAGTGAATGCATCTCAAAAGGGTGACGAAGGACCACATTCATATCGAACAGCAAGAATTCAATGTGGCAATATCTTGCCACAAATAATTTAAACATTAATTGTGGGTTTGGGGGGCAGTGTGCAGTGGGAGTAAAAGGGGTACGGTTTAGAGTCTCCAAAAGATTTACTTAAGAAACACGAATGCACTGCTTGTGTACTGCGCAAAAGTTCTCGGGGTCTACTTCCAACTTTCACTAAGGATCCCAGAACTGCCCGGCAGGAGCTGCCCAGGGCGTTTTGCTCTCAAACCCGGCCGCCGGTCGCCGACGCATGCGCAGTTTAGCACCGTGGCACAGGCCTTTCTCAGGCAGGTTTTTGTGGGGTCAGCAAAAGAGCCAGAACTGCAACGGCGAACGGTTCCGAGCCTGACAGGGGAGGGGGAAACCAGCTCCAAGTGAAAATCACCTCGCGAGGAAATAGGCTCAGGGATGGGGGCGGTTTCTGCAGGCGTCTCCACACACGCACTCTCACTCACTTTTAGGGTGCCAAAACACCACCAGGGGCAACTAGGAGGAATAGGTTGAGGAATCAGCTATAGAGAATGGAGGGGATAGAGCTGCAAGGGGCGAGGGGGCGACGATCTCTAAAACTTTCAGCGCCGTGCTCTACTGATGCTTTGGGCACTTTTTTCATTTCTCTGGGGAGTCTGGGTGCACCAATTAATCCGTCGCTCCTTTGAGCATTTGTTTTATAGGGGTTCCTGGGGGACCCCATCGTATTCCAGTATTCAGCCACACTCCCCTCAAAGCCGGGAAACCGCCCCGAGAGAAGCCCCAGGACGCCGGGGGTTGCGTGAGCCCCGTGAAGCTGCAAGCGGGGGCGCGGGATCCCCTTTGTGGCCGCCGCCCCCC